TTAATTATTCCCACAAAGCAAAATCACCCCCAAAAATGTGATTTTTCCGAAGCCGATTGCAGCCATTTTTCAAGTGGCAACCCCCAACTTTCGGGGGCACTTAGGACCATTTTTCAACCGTAGTTTTTAGCAATTCTGCTCTCATATGAAAGCTCAAATACCCAGGGAGTTGATCCTGGCGAGGATTTACACAATCTCACTATTTTGGGAGCAAAACAATCTCCTTGTTCAAAAGATGCTGCGAGGGCACTTTTAAATTTAATGCTAATGAGCTGGCCAGAAATTCTCCCTTGAATTAGTGGTCTGCACCCATCTATTTAAATCGGTGGGTGATGCCTGACGTAAGAATTTTTTATCAAGAGTCGTCAGGGAATCTTTGGGCAGGGAACAAGACTAGTGCAGTTTCATATTCCGGCTTTTAATCACAGTGGCGCACCGGCTGAAAAGAGAAAGGAAATATGCAATGAGCCAATTTGTGAATCGTGACTCGAGTCATCTAGTCAAATGATATTCGATCCAACTCGAGCATTTACGAGGGATTCGAGTCACAGATATTTCAGCTGCCAAGACACTACGGAGACAGAGAGTGGTATATCTCTTTACGACTCACTAATTTGCTATAGTAGCATTGAGGCATGCACTTTCTCGCAGTGACTCGATTCGAGTCAGTTACCTTTCAGGATTCTGGGACTCTGCAAGTCGCACTCAAGTCGAGTTACTGACTCGAAGAATGACGATGAGATATTTTCGTGAGAAGAAAAGACTGGCGAAAAAGTTTCATGGAGTCGATTCCCCGCATCTATCTGCTCGAGAGTATTTCTACCTATCCCTGGCCATCGTCGGGAAAAACCTCCCACCTTTAACTTCGTGTTAGTGATGAAATCCTGTTGTACTACAACTATTATTTCAAAGATTGATAGGCGATTTAGAGTTAAGGAGATCCCTCTAAATATGATTAAGAATCAGCTTGATTTTAATGGAAAAAACTTCCAAGGGAAACAACTGAGACTCCAGTAAACTTGACATTTGAATTCTGTTTGATCCTAAAATTGTCATTACATACTCACCTCAAGTTGTCGAGACAGGCCTAGTGTTATGTTAGCAATTTCACGTACCTACAGCTGCATAGCAAGCAGCACTGTGAGGATCGTTGGGGGAGAATTTTATTATCTTTTTCATCAACGGACGAACATGTTGATTTTTCTCTGTGGGAATAAGTAAATTTAACTCGAATTCGTCTTCTCCCTAGAGTGGTCAGGGGGAGCGAAGTTACACCCCTTAAAATTAAAGTTTGTTGGGGTCCACTTGTTGGCCTTCCCCCCCTCTGCATCATTCAGAGGCCGTGTCAGTCGCTGTGTACTCTAGCCTTTTCAGCGCCTGACGAGTTAAAGCCACGCACTGTCATGGGCTAAACTAAGGCAGTCAGGTTCTTTCAAATAACAGAACAGACTTCCTTCAATCTTTGCCAAGATCACAGATGTTATATCCATAATAATTTTTATTGGTCTGTGTTTGTCCAAAGTATTAGACGAAAAGAATCCTTTTTTCTGACATGTTTCTTTATATATTGACGTATGAAACAGGAAATTTCTTATCGCAGAGGTCAGCAGCGTGGAAAATTACATGATTCGAAGCAGCTTGCACCATACTGGAAGACAGTGGGGAGGTTTCTATCACCACTCGGCCAAAACCAAACATTATAGAGACAATACACTGAAGGAAATTCGGTTAAAATCGGCAGGCACTGTAAATCTATATTAATTGGAGAATTGGGAACATTATTTCGGGCAAGCGGCGCCCATCCCCGGGATCATAGTCCCACGCATCATTCGTACTCTGGGCCCAAACTATAATGGTAGTATTCTTGGTGACATTTACTGCTGTTTAAAAAGCCATTTCATTTCATATAAACATGGTTAATTAATTTGGCTAAACATTCTGTGAAAGGGAGCAAGAACCTCGCTCGAGTCAGTTATGAATATGAGACAATGCTCAGACCAGTTTGCATAAAATCCTCTTAAACTGTGTTCAAGTAGTTGACGGTCTAGCTGGTAAAATAATCATTATGCTGAACTTGTAGAGAAGCCCGCACAAAAAGAAAAAAAAATGCCCCGTAGCATGTCTCCTTGACGAATGACCTAACGATTTGGCGCGTAAACTATCTGTCCTAAGATGTTCATTGTTGGCGAAAGAGGAAAGCGCGGGAGTTGGGAGGCCGGGGATGAATGGCCGCTTTGCTATCTCATTAAAGGTTATTAAGCCTATTTTTCCCTAAACGGTAATTCGTACGGGCGAGGGAACAAACAAAAGGGGTAGATTTCTGCCGGCAGTTTTTATTAGCAGATGCAAATCTGTGGGCCCTATATTAAGTTAAGCCGCGCCATTGTGTGAGGTGAAGGCATGCGCGCCAGTGCCTGCAGCCTGCACGTGTTGGGTGTAACGCTGCCGCGGTATCAGAGCCGCGCTTGCTTCCCGCTAGCAGACGGACTATCATAGACTACGGGTAATTACTGCAGATTGTGACGTCTCGCCTGTGCCAAACCCGTTGTTCTCCTTATCTCAGCGGAAAGGCGGGAAAATCATTGTATTTAGAACAAATAATCGCCATCCTGTGATCAGCCGGGCACCGTCTTGCGACACGTGCACATTGTTGGTTTTATGTCAGATTTTCGCGCCCTTTTTCTGGGAGGCGTGTAATCAACCAAATGCAGCTGTTGCTGTCTCGTTTGGAAAATTCCTGCAGTTATTTCCGGAAAGTTGAGATTGGTTAATGGAGTTTTTTTTGCCACATAATTTACTCACAATAAAACTTTATGTTGCAGTATGAGAGTGATTCGGCCTGTAATCATTCCTATTTCAGTTTTATAATGATGACCTTTTTCATTGTTGTTTGTATGGGGCCGCCCTAAAAGCCACCCTTTGTTATATCAACAATGATTATGAGATCAAATTTAATTGGTTCTTTTGGGGAGTTGTTTCAATTTTTTGTCACCGTTCATTTATTCATCTTATATAGCACACCTTTGTGTCGGGAAGCGACGTGCAATTATTTTCATCAGCTATATGTACAAGAGAATTTATAACCAAGACCATAATATGCAGCTATAATAATAAACTGAAAATCCTCCAAAGTGTCCAAAGTGAGAAAAAAGTTACCGGTACAATATTCACGATGGGAGATTGCAACTTTAGGAATTTAGGTCTGTATTATCACTGTCTCGTGACAGCAGTGTCCAGCAACTCACATTTGAAGCAAGATATGGGACAGAGGGACCCCTCTTGTGTTGGTAATCGTTTTACCAGAATCTCAAGAATTCTTTTCAGACATCTATAGGGGATGTGTTAGGTATCAATAGTTTAGAGTGTGCATAGGGATTGGACATGTAAGGGGTACTCCCTCCATCCTATATCTTGTCGGGTATAGCAACCCATTTTTATGCATCATTGGCTGTCAAATCTATGTCTGTATCGGATTTATAGGCCCATTACGCGATGTGGAGTTTCAAAACTCCATGTTTTTTTAATTTTCTTATTACTGTTATTATTCATTTCTATTTGTTTGTTTGTTGATGATTTATCTTTGATTGGCTGGTTGGACTGTGTACACCTTCAAGGTAATGTTTCAACCCGTTTCTGTCATGGTGTAGATATAGGCCTACAAGACAAGATGCCCAAGCAAATAAAACAAGGGGATTGCCGTCAAATGTTCTTGGAACGTTATTCTACCCCCTCCCCAGCCTCCTGCACCACCAGAGGCTTTGAGTGCGCACGTTTCGAACGTGGGTGGATAACTCCCGACAGCTTTTCGGATATAGTTGTAAATGTCCCATGAAATATGCATGCGCGTTGTACAGTCAATGCATTCTTTGTTTTTGTTTGGTGTAGGGGTGTTTGTTTGTTTGTTTGTTTGTTTGTTTGTTTGTTTGTTTGTTTGTTTGTTTGTTTGTTTGTTTGTTTGTTTGTTTGTTTGTTTGTTTGTTTGTTTGTTTGTTTGTTTGTTTGTTTGTTTGTTTGTTTGTTTGTTTGTTTGTTGGGTGGTTTGCTTTTTTGTGTTTTATACAACGCATCGCCAATCATGACAAAACTTCTGCCATTTACGACCATCTGCCGATTGTGATATTAATTACTATCAGCGGCATAGAATGATAATTGCACTATGCCAGTGCTGTCATCGTGCTACAGGCAACGGCTATTTGGCGGGAAGCTAGTTAAATGAGAAAATAATACGTGTTCAATTATTGTCCATCAATAATATGGGTGTTTCTTTTTTCTTTCTGGCACAAGTAGTTTGTAAAAAAAACAAGAAAAAAAAAACAGCTGGTGGTTGTATGCTCATCAAGCGGAGAGGAAAACCAAACACAAAAAGACTCAGGCCCGGGAGGGGAATTCCAGTACCCTTCATACGGATTCAAACATGCGGCATTGTTTTGACCTGTTGGATTAAAACCAAAAAAAGTGGATGACGAGCTTTCTAAATCCCAAAGAGTGAAAATTCACTCTATTCGAGTGAAAATTCAATCCCTCCGATTGAAATTAAGGACCAGACGAATTGGAGTGAAATTTCTTCACTCCAAAAGATTGAAATTTCACTCGAGCTTTCACTGGAGGTGGCTATTTTCAGCCTTTTTCAATCTAACTTCAGAGTGATTTTCACTCCGAGAACGTTTTTTTTCCTAATTTCACTCTTTCTTATTTAGCCCATTGTTTGCCCATACTTTTCAAAATCGCGGTTATATTCGCAAGACCGGTGGTCTATGCGTTAACGTGTCTGTGGTTTAACTTTAGAAAAAGCACAGCGTGTCTGCTGCCACCAGCGTCTTAAAGTCTCCCGTTACCAGGCAAACACATCTATGCGTGTACGCACACTACCGATAGAAAATTGTTCAACTGTGTGCAAAGATAGTATACCGCCGCATATCTTTGACTTTGTGCCAGTGAGCAGTCGTATGGAAGTACAAATCATTTATCATCTCGACATAGGCTCCATGCTAAGCATAATGGTACTACGAGGCATGACGATTCACCCGAGCTCCTTTTTCAGAATTCATAATTTTCCTTTCTTGGAAGTACATTCACGTGAAATTGGAATAAAAACAAAGGCGAAAAAGCTGCACGAGAAGCCCAAACGGAATTGATGAAACTTTGGGAAAACAGATGACATGGAGTTTGCACCGTTTCCATACGTTCCCGCAACACATACACCTATTCTTTTGTGGCTGCACTTGCACATACATTACACATGGATTCAATCGGCAGTTTTGCAGATCTAACGTAAGATGTGTACAACTGACTGAAAATGGCGAAGGAAGAAACCTGACGCCTGTCCTCCTTTTTGCCAAGCACCCTTATTTAATACTGCATGCATTTATTTATACTGCATGCATAGATCCGTAGGCCTTGCACGCAGCGCGGAGCTTTATTTCAATCATTGATCTAGAAGTGCGCCCTCTGTGCGTTTGTGCACATCACGAGTAGGCCTACACGAAAAACAACGTTCTACGGTACGTTGCGTGTATGCAATCATTCAATTCAACAAGTTGTCTTACGCTTTTCTATAATGTGATTGAGTTGTTATGATTCCAAGACAACAAGCCTCTGATGTGTCAGTGACAATGAAATGTTGTTTGAGTAGCTTATTTCAGCAGTCCTCTGTAATATACATGTATCTAGCTTATTAGGATGTAATGCTGGTCTTAAAAGCGGCAATTCACATAATGGTGTGACGCTGCAATAAAACAGTGATGACACTTATGCAAGTTCATGCATGTGTATTAACTTGTCTCATTGATTAAAATAATGGCAGATAAAACAAGATCAGTTGCTTAAATATTTTGGATTGAACTTTAAAAAGTCAGACATACATGTAGATCGAACATTTGAAAATCTTTATTTTTTATTTCGGGTATCAAGTATAATAGAAGATTGTATACTTTAAAGTAAACATAAAATACTTGAATGGTCCGCATCTGCATTAAACGTAACAAAAAGAGAGCAATAGCAAAATTAACAAAAACACAAGCAAAACCGGCTTGTGGGACCCTGGGTTTGTGCGGTTGGGTCTAACCTAGGGCATCTGTGGTTTTCTCGGGACGTCTCGAAAAGTCTTAAGGGTTGCTAGCTTGCGGTTCGTCGTTCGCATTTCAATGTGTATCACCATCAATACACATACACGGAAGATCCACATCCATTCAGATTATTTTCCGAGGAGATAACGAAAAAAGAACGCGACGGGTGACCAAAAACCTCCGTACCATGAGGTGGTAAGTAAACAGTCGCCGGTCACCGTTGGTTATTGTTAGCAATGACGTCATGTCATGCCCGAAGTGGGGCAACGGTTGCTGATTGGCTGAGCCGAGCGTCCTGCGTTCCTTCACTTGCTGGAAATGTTATAATTTTGTTATACTTTTTGCTTCGTTCCGCGCCAAAAATACACGTGTGTCCAGCTTTCGAGCTAAACAGAACTTTAACAGGCGATGCGCGCTTGTGCAATACAGCGGGCGAAGTTTCATTCTTCAGAATAACTTGTGCCCAAAGTTGGCCCCGAATCTCACATAAAAATACCATATACAGACGGAGGTTGGATCCTGATTAGCCCGAATTCCGTCAGACCATGCGAGTTGTCTCGGCCTAGTCACGCTGATTGACACAACCACGTGAGTTCGGTGACTTTAGGCACGCCTCCCACCATTCATTAGTCACTTCGGCAAACAACACAGCAAATACTGCCAGCACACTACGGCCTTGGTTGAGCCAATCGAACGCACTTCCCTTGCCGAGTTCCTGAACGCTGAAAAGGGAGTCCAACTTCGACAGAAGCGGTAGTTTCTCTCAAAACTCAGCGACAGGAATTAGGATGCGTGACAACATGTCGACAGCCCTGGTATCGGCGAATGTGTCTGCCTATGACTATGTCAGTGATGTCCTCTGCAACAATTACAAGGTAAGGAAAACTCGGCTAACTTTTCATAGGTTTCGCTCGTGTGACGTGAGCAACCTGTTGCTGTTCATGTATCGGTATGCGGAGCAGGACATGATGGAACGCGATGGCAGCGATCACTTGCGATCACGGAAAATGCACGGAACATTTCGAAGACTTTGACGCAAGTACCGCTGTGTATTGGGCTTGTGTTATTTTTATAAACAGGCTTAGGCCTATTCTAAAAGTCAAAGTTGTTTAAGTATTATCAGTGTTGTCAGTAGGCCTATTCCATTTAAAGTTTCCCCCATTTTGTTGGTTATAGAACCCACCGCCCACTACCCGCACACTACTGAAACTCGACAAGAGGGCAGTGGGAACTCCGATTCATGGCAGTCGGAGACATTCCACGAGTTCGGCAAATATCGTCAACGGGAACGGCCTGAACGTCAACGCCAATGCTAACGATCCGGGGAAACTACGAGACCGTGCCATGAGCGAGAGCGATCGGAACCAGCGAACCCAAACAAGCCGGTACAAGACAGAACTGTGCCGTCCCTTCGAGGAGAACGGAACATGCAAATACGGGGACAAGTGCCAGTTCGCCCACGGGTTGCATGAACTGAGAAATCTGTCTCGTCACCCCAAATACAAGTCAGAGCTCTGCCGCACTTTCCACACGGTGGGGTTCTGCCCCTACGGACCTCGCTGTCATTTTATTCACAATCCTGAGGAGCGTAAGCTTGGGGTGGCAAATGCAGAGCAGCAGGCAAAACCTCCGCGCGACCGCACTGTTGAGAGGCCCAAGTTGTTGCACTTTCCTAGTGCCCCACTCGGCTCCACATGTGGAGGGGATCTGACACCACCCAGCGACAGCCCAACTTCCATGACGCCCCCTCCTTCACTGTTTGGGGATGACATTACATCCAACATGCCCCTCAGCGCCAGTGTCCTCCAATCTGCTATGAATGTGTTCAACTTTGCTCAGCGCCAGCAGGAGTTGCCTGCTGTGATGTCACCCATCTTGTCGCCCACCATCGGCGGCATCAGCAGCCCCTTTGGGTCCGGCCCCTTGTCACCATTCACTCCCTTGCAGCAGCTGAGCACGGAAAATGATCAGCAATCTCAACCTAGCTTCCCGCCACCCTTGACCTGTCACAGTCAGGATAGCGGCGTCTTCTTCTCTGAGAATCTAAATGACTTTTCCCGCAACACTTTCCGACCACCTTCGCCCCCGGACTCCCTCTCTGATCCCGAGTCCCTCGGAGAGTCGATGGGTCCAGCATCACCAACTCTCGTCCCAAGCCTTCCCTCTGTTCCTATCAATGCTCTTCCTAAGACCTGTCCCTCTTCAAGTCCCATGGCCAATCAGCGGGTTGGCCGCCTTCCCATCTTCCGTGGCATGTCTCATGAAGAACGGTTCTAAATATGCGCAAGCAAGGATGGTCCCACCTTGATTAAAAAAAGGGACAAGTAACAGCTCATGGACATGACCCCCCCTTACTAGTTCTTATTCCAGTGACATGATCTGAGTGTCTTCCTTTTTGTATGGTCCTGATTATTCCATAATCAAAGGATTTGTATAAAATAGTTTTGATTGTATTTTATTATAAGATATTTGAAGTTATCTGAATTAACATGACATCTGTTGATATTTCCATACTCCAGGAGTTATTACTATTTATATGAAAAAAAGTAGTCAGTCGGGGCTGTTATTTAATTTTTTTTCTGCACTCGGAACACTTAGCCTTGAAACTGACCATGCAAGTCAATCTTGCTAAACCTTGTCCTTACTTATTTAATTGTCATTTCTTTGTATTTTTGAAATTTTGTACTATTCAATGCTGAGCATAGTGAGTGGTTTGCCGATAGTTGAAACTGAAGCATCATTGCAGAAGTGCAGCCCCTTCCTACTAAGTATTTAAGTTATCCATCTTATTTATTTGAAAACATTATATGCATTTTGGTGAATTTATAATGCCCGTATTTATCAGGTTTTATGATGATTAGATATATTATATATTATTATTGTGATGTGACGCTTGTGTTTTAAATTATGAAGAACGTAAAATGTTTTGTCTTTGATGCCATCTTGGTATGAAGAGTACTTAAGTCTTGTGTTTGGATACAGTATTTGTCTTCCTTTACTTGATTTCCTCAGATTGAGATGAATTTTATGGTTTAGCCTTGTTTGTAATCTCATGGACTATGACGTAGTTGATGTACGACGTTTGTATATACACCTGACAAGCCAGATTTAAAAAACAAAAATATTTTAACTTAAATACTGTTCAAGAACAGTGTATGAGAACTTGTGTCTAAGGTGGATCTCTGTATATAAACGCGTTATCCACTTAGTAACAGTTCGATCACATTTGTTTCATGCAGTTGAATTTTTTACGCAGAACTTATTCACCCCTGTTTGTGCAAAAAAGTTTTAAAACAGAAAAGGAAAAAAAAGTGAAGTTTTATAAAAATCAAATGTTTGTGCCACGTTATGGTAAGCAACTCGTGCAAAATTCGACAGTAGATCGACTGTGCAAAAGTATCAGCATGCGTTTGTACTTGGCGTACTTACAGTGTTGAACAGAATTTAACGACTTACAAGTAGACTTAGTAATTTAAGATTGCATACTTTATGCAGCAACGTTTGATGTGTTTTGGTTTTAGTCCATAGGTTTATTCCTGGAAAGGTTTCATCTTGACGACTTGTGTTAAGAGCAGTTGTGGTTATCAAACATTTGTTAATATAAAATTGAGAAGTTTGTGACAACTAAATTACTGTTTCATTGGGAACCTACTCACTTTCAGTGTCAAATCATTGAGACATTATTCCTGTTCAGACGTATGTTTCTCTGAAATGTATCTTCAATAATGAATTTTTAGTTTGTAGTTTAATCAGCTTTGGCAAAGCATTTTTTCTTCTGATAATTAAACAAATTCCAACATGGTAAAGACACGTTTTGCTTCCCATCAAAATTACATTCCGTGAGCATTTTTAATTTGTTAATCTTGAGACATTCACATCTCGTATTTTTATTCCAACGCTAGCGTTTTGTGTTTAACCTATGAAGCCTTAATGAGCTATGCAAAAAATCCTTCACCATCTTCCTGCATACACACACTGCCGCACGGCTAGGGCCATGCAATATGTGTAAATGTTAATATTGTATTGTACTTAGTTTTAAATTTATTTAAGATGAATTCTAAGTGTTGACATTTTGACATGTCGATTATTACTAAAATTGTGTCTTGGCATACACTGTAAGTGCCTTAAAAAAGTTTGATAACGCCAAATGTTGCCTGTTTTACTACTTTTTCCAAGGCTTAGTTACGAAAACAAAAATTCAAGATCATTTTCCAGAGTGCCTTACCGTTAAAACACCTGAATGAAGGAAGGCTCTGTTTTCCAGTGCAACTATTTTTCTATAAACTACGAGTATTTCCTATTTTCGATGCTAAATCAAGCTTACACAGGTTATCAAAATATTTTCAGCTAAGGTCAAAGAAACTGTTTTTCCCACGTGTTTTTCTACGACATTTTGGCTTTTCGCCCGGTGCGGTGATCACCTATTCGGCTTTTCAATGAAATTCACTCAGTCGTTTGTAACGTACAATTATATATTTGTGTGTTAAGCATATTGTGTTGAGTATGAGATAATGTTAAATTAAAAGCGCAAAAATAGAAAAAAAGAAAGTATTTTTGTAGTTCTTGATCTGTATTTCATGTCGGCTCCCCAGCATTTAGACGCCGGAAATTTCAGAAACACTTCCAAATCCATTCTCTGGTAATGTCCCTTTGAAGAACCACATACCGGTGCGTGTACATGTAATATATGTAGTAAAATCAATTGCATGTCGACACTTGTTTGCTGTGTTTGTTTGAATGCGAATGACGAACAAAAACTCAATCTTTGACCACATACCCTTTTTGATGGTGGTGTGGACCCATATTTTAACGTCTATTGTTGACCTATGAATTGGTTGCGGTTTTATGATAGGAACATGCTAATCATGACAATAACCTCCAAGGACTGGACCTCTCTGTGAGTGATGTTCGACTTTTGTAAGTTGTTGGCGATTGCTTTTAACTCGTAAGGTCTGTGTTCTCAACCATTTTGAAAGTACATGCGAGTGTCACGTAATTGTTGGCAGGCTGGTCAAACTGCCTTGCACTTATCAAAACTGACGACATAATTAAAATAATCATCTCTGCTTACGATAGTGTTGAATGGTTGGACCAGGTTATAACATTTGTTGGCTCGAACTGGTTTTAATCAACTGAGAGCGATTTGCTGTAACTTGCACGCGCGCATCCACCTTGTGCAGACGGTCCCGCAACAGATTAAATAGCCGTATGCAAACTAAATACAAACAACAGTGTCCCCAGCTTTCCTGATAAAACTCTGTTCAGCTGTGGGCCGAGAAATTTATGAACATTGACATTTCACAAAGGCTGTGCAATGCTTGCATTCGTTCGTGTGGGGGTTATGGAGGACCTTACTGTGCGGACTTTTTTTGTTAAAAACAAGTTAATTTGACGTCAAAAATCCCATGTACATGTACATGTACTTCCGCGTATACTGTGAACAACCTACCCCGCGCATTACGTACATGTACATGGTCCTACACGATCGCAGTGCAATGTTTACATTGGGTCTAGTTTTAGTTTCACAATAGCTAGAAGTGGACGGGAACAGATGATTATCATTTTATTAAAGGGGCTCTGAAGTTTACGAAACTAGCATTTTCCTTAATACCTTAGTCACGTGGAATTGTCATTTCCTTTCAGAGTACAACGCCCAGACTATCAAACAGCATTTGTTTTTAAATTGCAATCTTTACCGAGAACTCAAAGTTGGGCCAAAGTTTACTGGGAATGGGGAAAGAAAGGGAGAAAGATGTCACATTCTTTGTGATCAACTGGCATTCTACTAAAAATAACTTGATCCCATTGTAATCATGATTGGACATACTAACGTTGAACATCATGGTAGGCCAATTACTGGAAAGTTCAAATTTGTGCAAGCATGCGCATAAATGACCATGGTGGCAAAGAAGACTAAATGAAAGTGCACATGAGCTAGGGGTACAAGCTAAGTCTTCACCGCTATTTTCTCTGATTCTACAAGTTTTTCACACTTTTCTTCAGGACATTCTCTTATGTCGTCATAGCAAAACTTCTTGTCTTTTGAGTTTAATTATGCACGAAACAAAGAAACGAAAATTTGCTTTTGCCCAGAACGCACGAGGTCCGGATTTCTTTCTAAGTGTCGAATTAAGAACTTTGTGATTCAAAGTACATGTACATGTACATGTAGCATGCACTCAGTGGCGTAAATTTGCACAAGGAACAGGGAGTGGGGATGGGGAATGCTTGTGTGTGTGTGTGTGGGGGGGTGTGTTTCAAAATAGCCCATCCCCGGGATTTACGCTGTACTAGCACGAATAAAGTTAACGTTTGCGCATGTGCAAATTACTGACCAATCATTATTTTCTAAAATTTCTGCATAACCGTCGCCGCCCAGGCTTCATCTCTGACAACAAACCAATCGTAAGAATATGGTATTCGAAGTTAATGAACACACTTTCCCCATAGAAACGATGGTGCAGTTAATTTTTTTCTGTAGCAAAACATGCCTTTGTATTAAGCTTAAAAATCCACACACTGTAAAAACTCGGGTGTTAAAATCAACACTTTTGGGTGCTATCAGATGACCACACCATAGGGTGTTACTTTAACACTGATGATGTTACTTTGCACACCTGTAAGTGTTACAGTGCACTAGAAGGTGTTACAAGTAATACCAAATAACACCAACATTTTAACACCAGTGAAAAGTGTTGGTGTAGTCTTCTAGTAACATCGCAGGTGGTAAATTTAACACCCCAGTTTTTGCAGTGAAGACAGAGGATAAAAAGCAAGCAGAGCCACGTGGAGTCGAAGCCGATATCATTGCAACACCCCATTGGTCTTCGATTCAGCGCTGGTACGTGAAAGGTACATGTACATGGTACCCCGAATCGCATACTGTAGTTTGTTTTTAAGGTCTTGCCGAAGAGAGCCTTGTTGATTTCTTCCGACCTCCTGCGTTTGGGAAGAAAGAAATGAAAAAAAATAAAGTAACGGCTATGATGATTTTATAGGGTTTTCTGATGAAAAAAAGGAAAATTTTCTGGAGAATCAGAGAAAAACATGATGTTGAAGTTTGTACCCTTGTAATTTCAGTGGGTCTATTTACGATAGTTGCCACCATGGGCATCTATACACATGTGTGCATACATTTGAATTCATTAGCAACTGGTCTTTTTAATGTAAAGTCTTACTCTTATCAGCGATTTGTTTGCACAGTTCTTCAGTCCTACTTCTCAAAATGTCTGGGGTCCTCAGACTTGATAACCACGTGAATTTGACAGCGAGCAGGTGATTGATTTGTACATTTTCTCACTAAGGCCACAAACAGCTTATTAATTAAAAGAACTATCATTCAGTGCTGTAATTAAGTTGAAAGTTCATGGTAATTGACTTCGTTCTCCTGGTAAAACTGTATGCAGACACTTGCGTGACCACATATGCAGGCCTACTACCTGCCCATCAGCTGATCTCTTGTGGTGCCAAAAGAAAACGTAGCTATATTGCTCAGAACAAAATTCACAAGTTCACAGTATCACTTGTTCACGTGACATCATTCGTTTATTTTCACCGACAAGTCCCAAATATAACACGACGTGGAACTAAAAATAGACGAGTTGATGAATTGGTCAGTTGTTCTGGATTTTGAAAATCCCATCCAGTGAGCCGCCAATCGCACTTGGCTTGCTTACACCCTTGGGATGTTACGGTATGACGAAGTCAAGTGGTTCAGGGGTTAGAGGGCAGTTCCTACTTCAGGCGTTTTCACTTTTAGGGTTTGCAGACTGAGACTCATCTTGGGTCTACGAAGGGGAATAACACTAAGGAATGTGGTACATGTATATCAATATTAAATTTATAAGCGAAAAAAAAGCGCTTTACGAATAAAAAAAATATAAAAGTGTTTTTTTTAATTGATGGAAAGAGTTCTGCAATGTACTTCCCTTCCATATATGAAGTTAACAGAACTGTTTAATCTACGTAAAATTTCTCAAACGTCTATATTAAACGGTGACGACAGTTTGTTTGAGCATTGCCTTACGTCTAAATGAAATTACCCTGTTTCCAGAAAGCGTACCATTTTCCAGGAAGAATTGTAGATGGCCAAGTTGTGTTGAATAATTATACTTGACACCTTTTTGCCAAAATGTAGCTTTTTGAAAAGTGATATCAATTCAGTCTGTCAACTCCATTTAAATTCGCATATCTTATTTATTGAAAGCGACATTTTAGGTACACTCAGCGGCTGCTCCACAAAACAGCAACTGCTTCTGACAACGTACGGGTTTGCAGGTTTTTAAAGTCCAAAACCACAGGATTCTTTTACCTCTAGTTATCTGACTCCGAGGAAGCACATGTTTTCCGCACTCCAAGCAAACTCAGCCCGCGCGTTTCCTCAGCGTCATATCCACCCGGCTAGCAGTAGTAAAGGGGGGGGGGGTGTCACGCAGCCAGCGTGGTAAAATAAGCAGATGGAGAATGGTTCAGTCGGGGACCATCCGAACAGTTTACCTTGTTCTATCAGTTTGGGGTTTTTTTTGCATTCGCATAGAAAACGTGCTGTTTTGGATGTTAATTTCGAAAGGTGTTCAGAATACTTTGACGTGACGTGTACAAGCAATAAAACACTGTCGCAAACTGCTCATCTACCAAAGTTAATCCTAGCAGGAGTGCCGGTAACTCCCGATAAGAGACTTTTCATCGAAATGACATATCCTTGAAATTCGGCGATAAACAAGACCCTGAAAGCGTCTTCCTGGGCAGTACAAGTGTACATATGTACATTCAACCTCCCTGCCTTAAAAAGCTGAGTTGCGCGTCAAGGACGTCGTCAACCAAGATATTCATGATTCTAAATGCCTTGGTGTTTGGCTTGCGTCAACATGATATAAGATTATGTAAAGCCAGTCGTCCAAATAGACTGTAACTAGCTTTATGGGCTGAACACAACATTTGCGGTAGAACTTCAAGTTCAATTGAAGGCGTCCTGCAGTCTCCCTCCCAGACTCCCATGCAGGGAACTCAATCGTCTGTCATGTCTCCATCTCCTACGGACAACGTGCATGATGCGCGTGGGCGATGGGAATTCCAGCCGAGCTATGAACCCGATTCCTGCTGTCACGTGACTGGCAAACAGGTGTTTCCTTGTCAACTGTCATGCCCATTTATGAGTTGGATTGTTTTATATTGGGGGATGATGTTCCTTAACTGGATGTCATGGGTCGGCGACATGGAACCCCGTGGAGTTGTTTTGGAGCATCAGCGGCACACGGATGGGTGAAGCGGATTTTAACAGTTATGCTAAAACATATCAGAGAAAAACGCACTTGTCTGCGAATTCACGAGGTTTGTATGTGGACAAAATGTGTTGAAGAGAAAACTCACCGAGACAAAGTTGTTCGTAGCGGGATGACGAGGACCAGAAAAGAGTGGTTGGAAGACGCCAAGGATGATTACGTTGTTTCACAACTGATAAACGATGATTTTTTTAAATCAACCTTTTGATAAGTTTTTGGGTCAAGAGCATGCAGGAAGACAGTCAATCATTTTGTCTCTTTGCATCGATG